CCCCCCACACACACACACAAACAAGCAACAAACTAGTCCAGCAGCCAAATCATCCCACCAAACAATTACTATAAATATCTTTTTTCTCTTTGATTCGCCTCTAGTACCAAGATGAAAGTTTCTTTCCCAGCAATTTTGCAAAAACAATGACCAACAAGGCTTAGCATTGGTAGAATGACCAAACCTTTATAATAACATTTAGTTCTATTAATAGGATACAAGAGTTTAAGCGAATTAAAGAGTTTATCATTTTGTGAATACGTTTATCATAAAACACCAATCGTGTCCATGTTAAAGTTACACCCAAGTAAAAAAAATGATTTCGGGTCTGTTCTATCTCTTCCTTTTGTGTCCTTAATCAATTCCACACGCGATACTTTAAGGTACAATTTTAATCTAAAGGGTAAATCAGACTTGCTCCCTCTAAATTGGGGCCATCAATGTACACACACAAATGGCTGGTACAATTTGAGCAACACATCAACTTCAAGTCAGCTTAATATCCCTCGTAAGATTACCGAACTCAGGATCACTTCGAAAGTATGAACTATAAGATCTATTCAAGAATTATAAAATTGAGGTATATGGAACGCTAACATAATAAATCATGCACTTCTACATAAAACTATATACTCCCCCATTCAATTTATGTGAACATATTTGAATGGGCACGAAGAAAAAACAGAAGACTTTTGAACTTGTGGTGTAAAATGAGGCACATATATTTTGTCTCGCTATAAATCATTGCATAAAGATAAATTGTTTTCAAATATGGAAATAGGTCATTCTTTTTGGCACGAACTAAAAAGGAAATAGGTTCACATAAATTGAAACGGATTGAATATTAAGACTGTATACGGTCAAAACCGAGTTTGCCCTTCGTATAATTAGTCAAGATTGGAACATAATGGACCGAGGATTGTCATTATAATATCGAGATATGATATGAAGTCGGGTTATCGAGCTCGAGATCCAGACCGACCAATATCGAGCTCGAGGTAATGTCAAGCTCGAGTCAATATCGAGCTATGATGTGAAGTGGTGTTATCGAGCTCAAGAGCCAGAGACCGACCAATACCGAGCTCAAGTCAATATCGAGCTTGAGTCAATATCGAGCTCGAGATCCAGAGATCGACCAATACCAAGACCGACCAAGATCGAGCTAAGACACAAAGAGGCGTTGTAGCCGCACTAGGGGAGAGAATCTCGACAGGAAACAAGGAAAAGCTAATTAACTAATATATCATGGGATCCCCACTATGTATTTTTTATTATATCCAAAGTAGGATTCCTCCACTATATGAAGAGTGGCTATCATTTTTGCAAGGGGCATTGAAGATTCAGACATCAATACACTCTCACATTTCAAATATTATTGTTATTTACACAGATATATAGTAAAGATTATCCTTTTTTGGGCTTTGGACATTGATTCATCTTGCTCGTTTATTAATCATTCTCTACTCAAAGGGCATTTGGTTTGTATTTCATACCTTTTTTTACAGTCAATATTCGATATATTTCTACTTATTTTTCCAATTTGTACCAAGTTATACCACGTATCCTTAGAACTACGTATAAATTCAACTCTATCCATTTTTCGGGTAAACAGTTTGGCGCCCCCACCATGGGGCTAAGGATAACAATGGTTATTTGGTACGAATCTCTGCAAAACACACCATTTTACACTTGCTCTTGGAAGTGTCTTTGATTTCAGGTTAAAAACGATGAACTCTCAATTAATGTCCCTACCTATTGACAACGAAGCTAGCCTTCAAGATGAGAACAACAACCTGATGACCAGGGATGACAGGCCACTCGTCGATCCTGTTGGAACTCGGGCCGCAGATCCAATTGACGTTAATTCACATATGGTCATCGAGGCAAACCAACGGTCCAACCCCGAAAACAGCATCCATGGTGGAACTCGACCTGCAGTTCGAAATACCCAAAATGTTGGAGAAGACGGAATCAGCCTACGTATGATATTTGAAATGTTGCAAGCTCAACAGGTAGCAATAGCTCAGTTGCAGAGCCAAACCCAGGCACCGAGCAGGGCCGAGCTCGGTCCACCCCCAGAAGTCACCCAGGAAACGGGGCCAGCTGTAGTAAGATCAAATGAACAAGAATCGGGGACTAATCCCAAAATTATTAAGATGTTAGAGGAACTGACAAAACGAATTGAGTCAGGAGAAAAGAGGATTGAAGCAAACGACAAAAACGTAGAAACTTATAATTCCAGGGTTGATCAGATCCCGGTCGCACCACCGGTATTGAAGGGCTTGGATTCCAAAAAATTCGTACAAAAGACTTTTCCCCCGAGCGCGGCTCCTAAATCGATCCCCAAGAAGTTTTGCATGCCCAAAATTCCTAAATATAATGGAACGACCGACCCCAACGAACATGTCACCTCATACACATGTGCCATTAAAGGGAAGGATCTAGAAGATGACGAGATCAAATCCGTACTATTGAAGAAGTTCGGGGAAACTCTGTCAAAGGGGGCAATGATATGGTATCATAATTTACCGCCTAACTCTATCGATTCTTTTGCTATGCTTGCAGATTCTTTCGTAAAAGCACACGTCGGAGCCATAAAGGTCGAGACTAGGAAGTCGGACCTTTTCAAGTTAAAGAAAAAAGATAACGAGATGCTAAGAGAGTTCGTATCTCATTTCCAAACGGAAAAAATGGATCTACTACCGGTCACAGACTATTGGGCTGTACAAGCTTTCACTCAAGGACTGAACGAACGAAGCTCGATGGCTTTACGACAGTTAAAGCAGAATTTGGTCGAGTACCCGGCTGTTACCTGGGCCGATGTGCATAATCGATACCAATCAAAGATCAGAGTTGAAGACGACCAGTTGGGTTCTGGGTCCATTATTAAAAGGGACATCGACCGAGAACCAAGGTCGAACAAGGATCGATATCGGCCGTGTAACGGAGATCATAGGGGTAGCAAACCTACACGCAACTCCGTACGAGGCGAAAGGAGAAATGATCGAGGCCAAGGGTCTCGGGGGCTGATGAACAAGAATGGGTTCGACAGGCATATCGGACCTAAGGAAGCACCACGATTATCAGAATATAACTTCAACATCGATGCATCCGCCATCGTGTCGGCTATCAGACACATCAAAGATACTAAATGGCCTCGACCTCTGGAGTACGATCCATCCTAGAGAAATCCCAATCAAATGTGCAAATATCATGGAACCCATGGCCATAGAACCGAAGACTACAGGCAGTTGAGAGAGGAGGTAGCTCGTTTATTCAATGAAGGGCACCTTCAAGAATTTTTAAGTGACCGGGCCAAAAACCATTTCAAAAACAGAGATTTCGATAGACAAAACAAACAAGAAGAGCCATGACATATCATCCACATGATCATTGGAGGGATTGATGTCCCCCAGGGACCGGTGCTTAAATGCACTAAGATGTCCATTGTAAGAGAAAAGCGATCTCGGACTCAGGATTACACACCTAAATGAACCTTGTCCTTAGTGATGAGGACACTGAAGGAATCATGCAACCCCATAACGATGCACTAGTAATATCTGTACTTATGAATAAAACTCAAGTTAAGCGTGTGTTAATTGATCTAGGTAGTTCGGCCAACATCATTCGATCAAGGGTCGTAGAGTAACTCGGTCTACAGGACCAGGTCGTACCCGCTACCCTGGTACTGAATGCATTTAATATGGCATGTGAAGCTACTAAGGGCAAGATAATCTTGCCAGTAAATGTGGCCGGGATCATCCAAGAAATGAAGTTCCACATAATCGAGGGCGATATGAGATATAACACCCTGTTCGGGA